GTTTGTAGAAACCAACTTTCTCGAGATCCATAGAGAAAAAATTTAAGAGTAAAGACGGATATTAGATTTGTGATCAGCATCATAAGTTATACTTAATCAAGTATAATTCAAGAAGAAAATAATTGGACACTTGAAGTTGTCCTCTGTAAACTCGACAGAACAACTCTTTTTCAAATCTTCTCTCGCTCTCTCTCCTGTTCTAGATAAAAATATTGGATTGACATTGATTGTTGTGTTATTAACTGGTACATTATTGGTCGTAATATGTGCATTTTTATTGTATAAACGGTAAGTTTGTTCTTATCTACTTGTTCGTCAATAATTATGAAAACATGCGGGCAATATTGTGAAGTGCTTAAATACTTTGATCAATTGTCTGTGAAACTGATTTCAAATTCGCTTCGAACTATGTTTAACTTTTAAGCGAACTTGGACATAAAATACAATGGCAGAAACTTGCGAGAGTGTTGAATCAACTTTAAAAAATTTTTTCTTTTTTTAGTCGTAATGATCGTCGTGTAAAATATTTGTCGCATATGTTGAGCAGTTTATTTCCATCTCGTTCACGAACGGTTCTTAAAGATAATGTAGGTAGTAGTGGAGGTAACAGTGATGGTGGTAATGAGAATTTGAATAATAATAATGACTGTAAAAAATTAGATGATATAAATGGAACAATTGTTCCTCCAGTTGATGAAAAATCTCAAAAGATTAATGAATATGATGTTTCTTACAATCCAATAGATTATCAACATAAAAATATAAATGAAAAACATCAAAGTCTAGAGAAAAGGATTTTTATTGATAATTTAAAAACTGCTCCATCATTTTATGCATCGTATAAAATAGTGCTTACAAATGATAAAAAATATGAAAAAAATGAGAAAACAAATTCAAATGAAAATATGTATTCGATTGATCCTGTTGCATTTTCATCAGCACCATTAAATTTTCGTCCTGGTATTCATCTAAATATGAATAATAGTCAAAACAACGATGATAATTCGATATTATATGAATATGTTTTACCATTAGATGACACTACAGTTGATAATACATCAACTAGTAAAATTCAGTTAGTACGAGATAGTGATGATGACTATTATTCAGATATTAAGCATAATGATAGACATGAACAACAACAAGAAAATTATGATCAAGTAATCTATGCAACACCATCCATAAAAAGCACAACAATAGCAAACAATGAGAATGAAAGTCATATTTAAATTGTTTCAATCTCTTTTTTAAAATGAATAAATGAATTTTTGTCATGTCATATTAGACTGTTAATGTTATCATGAGAATATATGACAATTTCACTGACATTTTCTATCTTGTTTTGTATATTCCTTTGAACAGTGACAGTCGAATATGCAATTTTGTATTTTCAATGTTAGAGCAATATAAATTTGTTTGTCATTTTTTTACCAATATAAGCAATTATTATAAATCTCTTCTGTTTTGGTATGTTGTTTTTTTCTTTTCGGGTTTCTATTTTGTTTTGTTTTGTTTTTACGCATGTAAATCAGATTCACAGATATTTTTTAAAACTGCATATTTATTTCAATCAGATACAATATTTCGATCCTTTTATATGCGTTTTTTGTTTTTTGAATGAAACTTTGTCACTTTTGATGCGCAAGAAGAAAATGTCATTTTTTTATTTTTATTGTCTTTTGTATATTTATCTGTATATAGATTTTGGGATGTTTTGATTAATTTGATACGGATCTCTTGGCCTACTTTCTACATAAAACATTTTTGTTTATTCTTTATTGTACGTCAAAAACCAATACGACATTCATAACAGAAAAATGGATGTTTATCTAGAATCAGTTGCTTTTTCGCTTAGCAGTTGAAAAAGACAAGAAATATGTTCATTTAACGGATAAGAATCAACACTACAGGTTTTTAGAATAAGTTTTCAGTTTGACTAACGAAAACTTTAGAGATCGACTCGGTTTTTGTATACTAAAAACTTGTTTCAACAATGTATTGCTCGTGTTTATTCCGTATGCGACGATAAAAGCAAAGTGTATAAGAAGTTGTAGTGTGCTTTGGAAAAAATCGTTTATATCGCGGTTTACATTCAGTTACTAATGTATTAAAAACTATATAAAAAAATTGTGTTTAAATTAATCAAATCAATGCTCCGATATTGAAACTTTGTAGAATGATTTAAGTTTTTCAGCAGTCGAAGTTTTCATGACAGACTTCAAAAGTTCTAGTCTCAAAGGACGATAAAAGCAATGAAACAAACCAATAGCAATCTTGCTATTTTATGTTTTTGGGTTAGGTATATTATTAAACCTGTCAAATTTACCCGAATCCTTTCGCTACTATCAACTCGAAACAATCTCTTAATTCCACAAAAGATTATATTTTCATGTCATAATACCAATATCTCATGTTGACAAGAAATTTTCATCGCTTTTATATTATTATACATGGTAAGAGCGTATTCACTATCAACTCATATCTTGAAACACTTCAGAACTAGTCACCTAACCTATATCAACATCCGTCTTGAACATTTTTATAAGTTGAAAAGTCATTCAAATCAATTCGTAATCTATAAATATCCGAAACAAATTAATCACAAAACTTCTCTCCATACTTTTCCTGCCAACTTGTTGTTTGTAAAAACTTTTATAGTTATTCTTATCGATCATAAAATCGTACAGTTGATAAAAATCGTTTGTGTTTATAACGCAATGTTTTGTTGAAGTGATCAGAGTAAGAAGAAAAGAACGATTATATCGTGACCATATAATATATATCTCGTGCATATATCTCTCTCTGCTCTTCTTCATTGTTAACTAAAAATTGTGTAGTCATTTATAAATGACCGTATAGAAAATGTTGACACTTTTATGATCGTATCAGTTTCACAAGAGTAGCAATAGACTGTGTATATTAGTGATACTATTGCAAATATGTTTTGTCTGAAGAATCACTATTTGTCTGAGCACTGTTCAAAATGCAGCAGAACTACACTTAAATATCTGAGAGGCTTGAATTTTATTGAGCTTCAGACTACTCATGCCATTGATTTCAAACGTGCTGTTTTTTCAACATAGATATAACTCATGTTGCTGAATAAAAATATGTACTTATTGGAACGCCAAGATACCGTCTTTTGTTTTAGCTGCTCACTTTGAAATCTGATCAACGCTATCGCGCTCCCTCTCATGCAAATGTTTAATGTTTGAATTCGATAAAGGAAGTCAAGCTATAAATATGGTAAAGATTTAAGGAAAATACGGAGATTTGGACAATTATACCATTACTTACTAATACAGATGTTATTTTAATAAATTTTTTAGACAAAAGTAAGTGTAGCTAAAAATCAGATATACCCAAGCCGAGAGTTAAGTTAATTGTGTATTCTGGGATTTTGAGCGGAGCCAGTTTCCGCTAAAATTTGAGCGTACAATGGTATAGTAGCGGTAAAACATAACGGCAGGACCTCATCAGACACAATTACGCAATAAACTAACAGTGTTATTGGCCAACCTAAAACGGTCACTTTCTATATAAATTCAGATGTATGTTACCAAAATAACGTTTGTTTCATAAAACGGAGTAATAGCTGAAATGTAATTCGCGAATTATATCGAAATTTGATGATTTTTTTCTAGGAAAGCGGTGTTTGGGATTTTTACATATTCGGAATCAGCGTGATGAGTTACGTTGTACAGCACAGCGCAAAGACCTCGTCGCAACTTAGGGTTCTCGGGAGCAGCCGTTGTATGAAACCAAATAAATTGAAGTTTGTGGTTTGATATTTTAATAGGACTTTTTTAGTATATTTTACGGTAATATAACTCATTCGCGTTAATAATCCCAACTTTCAAATCATAGTACCA